AAATACCTGCAGGGCATGCATTCCCTCTGGGACTGACCTGAATAGTGTACACATTCATTACAATGTCCTTCTGCTGATAACATGCTAATGCAACCCTTAGCTATGGTTTAACTAAGTACGTCTAATAACTGTATTCCCATTTAAGAAACCGTAAACTAGGAGTCTGGGAGTTTTTTGTTGTTGTTGTTGTCATCTTGTATTTCACAGCTGGCCAAAATTTATAAACATGTCAAAACATGTGTAAGTTGTGGAACAAGTTGTGTAGAATGTGTTTGGTGTAGCCATAGTAGAAGTACCTGCATTACACCAAGAGCAGGTTAGGCAGCTGGATCAGTCAACCTGTTGTTGTTGTGCCAGGTGAAGCTTTCCAACACACACACACACACACACAGACAGTTTTGTGACATGGTTCTGGGAAATGCTGTTCTTGGCCCCGGGCACTTCCCGTGAAAGCTGAAATGGTGTGTCACAATGGCAGCACTTCTACCAGATGAGACGAACAACAGTTAAGACACATACCCTTGGGACGAAGACACATCTGGACAGACCAATTAGGGCCTGAGAAACTTCTAAAAGCTGTGGTTAGACTTTAGTTAAAGGACCCTGTTTCAAAACAACATATGTTTGTTAGCCACTCATCACATTTTTATTTCAAATGTACATAAAGCTTATTTTAATGGTGAATTATAATTCTTATTGTGAACAAGATGGTGTATGTGACATTTATTGCTGCATGTCCCCAAATACCTCAATAATAATTGGAAAATTAACGATTTTGACCTTGTCGGGACATTTCTATAGTCCCCAGTAAGAAAAATTATTAAAATTCTTTCTTTTACATGAATGTGTGTGTGTGTGTGTATGTGTGTGTGTGTGTGTGTGTGTGTGTGTGTGTGTGTGTGTGTGTGAATGTAAGTGCAATGCCCTGCAATGTACTGGCTAGGCTTCAGGATCCCAGCGTTTTAATTCACTACCTAAGTGAAAACTACACTGCTCATAAAATTGTTTGCGCTGTTTAATTACACTGCTTTTGCCTTTACAAATGCACCGTATATGTCATTTTAATAATAGTATTAACGATATTAGGAACAGTGGAGAGCTCGGTAGTGATTCTTTTATGTCCTTTGAGTACACGCTCCGATGCTTTTGCTCTCGGCTATCTAAAACCCTGCAAGAAATAAAATCGACACTCTATACGAACAAGCCACAGCCATATCAAAGCAGGCCAGCTCAGTTAAAAGGTCACAACACCTCGCCAGCCATGAAAGAAGATATGCAAGCCTCGATCCGTGCTCTCATCATCCGTGTAACAGTCCTTATGTAAAGAATTTCACACATTATTTAACTTGTCTGACACTATCAGTGTAACTGCAGCATCTGAGTGGTGCTGGCAATGAATACAGCATTGTCTGGATAGAGAAACCTGCAGATTCCAAGAAAATCTGCTCTGATAAAGAGAGATACAGAGAGAGGAAAGGTTGGTAAAGCAGGTCCAGGGGATATGCAGCAGGTAGAAAACAGCATTGTTTAGATCAACGATCAGTACAGCTTGTCAGGACTGTGCAGTAATTTCTGTCCCTGTAGAAATGTAGAGGTGAGCTGTTATATGCTTTGGGACTGCCAGTCCTGTCTGATCACTGGAGAGTTCCCTCATCCACACCGTGACAGCGCTCCCTTGGCCGCCTCTTTGCGATGCCCGAATTTCATTACTCTGGGTATAATGAAGCCTTCTCCAAGAGCACATGGCTCACTCTGGAATACCTGCAGAGTCTTAGCTCCTTTCCGCTTTAGTGAAAAAAAGAAGAGAGAAGCACAGTGATTAGGAACAGCAGTAAGAGATGGACAGAGGAAGAAGAAAGAGTAAGAGAAAAATGAATACGATTTATAGTGAGGTACTGTCCAGATTTATAATATAGCAGTGTAGATCTTGCTTGACTGGGTGTACTGAGAGTTTAAGGTGTTTAAGAGGTTTTAGGTCATCTGAATAGGTGAGGGGTGAAGGGAGCTGGGAGGTGGTGCGCGTCCCCAATAGTAGATAATTTTAAGGACGCCACTGTGCTGAACTCTGGCCTTTAAACACTGCTAAGTCTGATAAAGCCTCAGAGCCGCTATCAATGCCCTCCAGCCACACCGATGATCCACATCCACACCTGCTATTGATCTGTGCAGCAACGATCGTGGCTCACTGTGACAGAGAACATGACAGGCCTCTGGCTTTTTCACTACAGGACCTGCATGATAGTCACAGGCAGTCATTTTAAGATCAATTTCTGGCAGTAAGTGTAAAATATTGTTGTAATGCAATGCAAAATGTCCAAAGTTCGTACTTATCCTGATTATAAAACAAAATCTGCATTACTTTCCTTTCAGTAGTATTAATTGCTCGTAAAATAATAATAATAATAATAATAATAATAATAACAATAATAATAATAATAATAATAATTATTATTATTATTATTATTATTATTATTATTTTACAAGAAATTAAAGCACATGTCGTACATGTGAAAGTAAATATATCATGTGTAAATTCAATAAATGTATGAAACAAAATAAGTGAAAAAAACACACGTGAAGGTCATGTGACTTTTCTGTATGGGTCTGCAAGAAAAATATAGACACCTATAGATATATAGTATAAACACGATAAAACTGCTTTTAGACCTTTTCTTTTCCACAGAAATTGCATGCTCTAATAAAAGACCATTTATATGCGGAGATGAGCTGGAAGGAGAGTGACAAATGAGCCAAACAAATGACGTTCCTGCTCCACATCAATATAACTTGAGTCTGCTGGTGAGCTGCATCACATCCCCTCACTGCTCCATGGAGCACGGCTGGGGAACTGTTGAGCACTTTTAATTATGTATATAATAAGGTTGGGGTCAACATATTTCATGCCAGGAGAATGATGTGTATTTAATGACTCCAATACATTACCTTCCATGTGTAATCTTACTGACGGAGTGCCTGTAAGTTTAATTACCATTAATCAGCATCAGGGTTTGTCTGTGTGGAGAGAAATAGATGAGACCGTGATTTGCTTCGCGCTGGACTGCTGTTGGGGGTGACACGCAGCACATGCGACAGCTATAGGGAGCTGCCTGATAGATAATGCTCACCTCGAGCCTGCCTAATAAAGCATGTGCCATGTTACAGAGTATAGTTTTTACAGTGCAAGATGTATTGGGTTAATATAGTTACTCAGTGATGCTTACCTGACTAAATGCCCTTCATTCCGAATAAAGGCAGGCTGCAATCGGTTATGTTCCTAGACCTTTTTTTTTAATGAATAGTTTTTTGACCTCTGTTGTCGACCCTGGTTGAAAGGTTTAAGAGAGCTCTTTCTTGTTTGCACACAGATAAGTGCAGGGACAGAGTTCACACTGACAACCATTGGCTTAATAAACATATGAACTCTTTCAAATGCAAGTTACTTGTAAAAAAAAAATGAAGAAAGAAGTAATTTTTATGCCTATAAAGTGCTTATAGTAAATCCAGATTCCTTGCTTAAATTATTAATGCTTTAGTAAATGTACTTTTACTAAACAACGTGCCATTGCAGCAGCAAAATGTAATTCAACAAGTCGTGAGACTTCATTACAAGACTTCCAAATCCTTTTATCCTCTTTACAAACATTTGCACGAATGAATGCAAAGCCAAACATCTGTATTGATGCAAATCCCTCTTATGTTTGTTGATGTGCTCAACTCTCTGTGGTCCTGTGGCAAACCTGAGACAGAAGCGCAGGGGGCGGAACCCCCCTGTAGAGGCCCACAAAACGGCCCTGTGAAAAGCCACATCAATTTCAACCCAGACAAGTGCCGTCACACAGATTAGGCAGCCACAATGCAGCAGGGCCTTATCTCCAGCGGCAGGAGGAGGGCAGCCTGATCTGCGCAGGATGGAAACATTCTCACCACGTAATGGACAAAATCAATTGTTGCCCTCCTCAATCAATGCGGCACCTCGCTTGCTGCTCAGCAGCTTCCAGTGTAACTGCAATTCTCTGCGGCCTGTGATGGTGGTGTGAGGCGGCCATGCGACCAGGCTGAAAACAGATGATAACTGGCCACATGCTTGAATCGTGGTGCAGGTAAAAGTGAGCACGACTCACCTGGGTGATCATTCCTTAGCTTCTCCTGATTAGAGGAAATAGTCTCAGAAACTTCACATTTAAGGTTAAATTTATACACATTCATAACAATACAAACAATAAGCACAGTCAATAACTAAAACTAACTCAGAGTAATTATTCATGATCGCTTGGAACCCTTTTAGAAAAGTACACAGCTCAGCCAGCTGAGTAACTTTAGTAACGAATTATTTTTAATCGTAATCCTCTCCAGTATGTATTACTAGCAATATATAAATTGATTAAATAAATAAAATAAGACATCTGAATTTTGAATATATTATTCCGGTATGAGGGCATTTGATTAATTAGCATACTTGCTGTCTCATTTAGACACATTCAAAACTCTTCCCAACATCATTTTCCATGCTCCGAAAAATCTGCTGTCACAATTTCTTTTCTCTCCGCCGAGAATTTCACATTGTGAGAACAATGAACCCAAAATGTCTAAGTTATAATTATACCTGCGATGACAGATGACAGTTAAAAACTTAATTTAGAATAAAATCTCCTTTGACTGAGTTGTTCCGTAAAGAGAGGGATCCTTGCTTTATAATGGTAATTACTCTGCCATTTATTATTCTATCAGCGCACGCAATTAAACGAGTGCGCTGAGGACACAGTTGATAATAAAGTGTAGGGAGAGTGAATGCTAATTAACCTTAGAGATGGCTGCTCCTCTCTCTCAGTCTGTGCTGCTTCACCCCTCCACTTCTGCTTCGCTGCACTCCAGCACTTGGTGCCATGACTCAGTCAGATGGTAACACTAATCTGCCTGACCACCAGGGCCATGGTTAGCTGAAGAAGCCAAAGACACAGCAATCACCGAATAAAACAACTCTGTATTTTGGGTATTGCAGTGGTACTGTAGCTCAGTGGTTAAAATGTAGGACTACTGATCAGAAGGTTGTGAGTTTAAATCTCAACGCTACCACTGCTGGGCCCTGGAGAAGGCCCTTAACCCTCAATTGCTCAGTTGTATTTAAAAAAAAATGTAAATGAATGTAAGATGCTCTAGACAAGGGCATTTGCGAAATGCCATAAATATATATTATATTATGATACCATTGATAATCTGTTAACCAAATTGTTTCAGGATAATGGCTACAACACACACATTGGGATAATAATAATTTTGGTTGGGGTAATAATAATAATAATAATAATAATAATAATAATAATAATAATAATATGTAAAGGTAACAAATGAAAATGATCATTTATAATTTAATGAACCTATGAGTAAGATATTTACATTTTATTTTCCTATACTTCCTATACTACCTATATAGAATGAGTAAGTTAGGGTGATTTTATTAAACAACAACAACATTAAAAAGCCACAAGAAAATGTGATCATAGAGGCAAGAAATGAAAAGAAATGACTTCATGTACTCCATCAAATAAAGAAAAAGGAGTGCCTGGTGAAGTTCTTGACAGAGCCTCTTTCACCTTTATATCTTCTTTTGTGAGAATGACTTTAATGTTTCGTGCCTGCGTTTTATGGCTCAAAATGAAAAATGCTTGAAAGTCTGCCAAAAAAAACCCTTCTTTGTCAATCACTTATTCTGTGGCCCTTTTAAGTGGATTTCCCCCTTTTCGTAGCCAGTGGGACACCTGACAGTATGGGACAAAGCGGTGCCTCCTCATCAGAACAATGTGTGTGTGTGTGTGGTGGAGGTGGTGGGGTGGTGGGGGGTGGGGGGGTGCGTTGAGGGGCAATTATGAGATTAAGCCCACATGCTTTCAGCTGGACTTGATTCAAAGAATAGAATCGGAGAGCAACTTCCTCACGCCGATCTTGATCCTGACAGCTTTCAGTGGCTGAATCTGCCTGTCACTATTCACAAACTTCCTGTTTGTTCTGTCCAAAAGAGCTCCATGCCCTCAAAACTATTACTGCAATTCCACAAGTTTATAAACTCTGAACAGGAGCATGCGATTTCTTCTTATATGCAGTGCTGTATTTGACTGAAACTTTTCTCCTTTTCTATGACGTACACGTCCATCCATTTCTACAGCTACATCGCTGAATATCTCTCAGCATTTCACATTTAATCCTCAGACCTTCATCCTGCAACTTGTGATGTTTTCAAACTGGTGGCCGTTTTTCAAAATGAGAAGTTTACATTTATTTAAGACCTTGAAAAACGCTTGACCTGGCAGATGGATAGTTCTTAAAAGAGGGAGAAAATCCGATCCTGGATAATAGCAAGTTATCAATAATAGGGGGATGTTGTCGGTCTTAGCTGTGTGCACATTATATGCATCCCTCAGGTATCACAAACTCTCTTCAGGCTCTGGAGTAATGATTCTCAAATCATTCTTGCCGCACTAGTCAAGGGCTGCGATCCTGTGAATAGCCCATTGTACCTGCGACTGTAATTGGTGAAGGTTTGACAGGGCCGAGAGTAGCAGCAGTATAACAAAGAAGCTCTTCCGGCAATGCTGAGGGATGATTTTCATAATGTTGGCACAGAGACGCTAAATGAGCACAGAGGTCTCGGGGTCCTGGCACTGAGTGACATGCGACCAGTAACACACTCTCTCTGAGGGCTGAAAAACACACAACCTGCTTTGACTACACACACATAGCAGAGTCAATTAAGAGATTTGATGCTCTGTCAACACTGCTTTCACGACCAATTTGAAGTAACTTTATGGCGTATTTCATAATTTTACAATATCAAAAGTCACTCCCAATTATTTGTCCATGAACAAACAACTTGACAAATGAACTGGAAAAATGTTAATGTCAAAGCATCAATTTAGGGTTTTTTGGTTGTTTTTTTTTGGCAAGTCATTTTAACATATTTGGACATGAATACAATTATGTTGTGAAAATAATGGCTTGTAGAAGTGTCATGTTGCCAGGTGTTAAGGGAATGGTGTGAATTTGAAGTTGATAAGCTAAAGTTCACTGAAAATCACAGACCTACACACACACACGTGTGTGTGTGTGTGTGTGTGTGTGTATATGTATGTATGTATGTATATATGTGTGTGTGTGTGTGTGTGTGTGTGTGTGTGTGTTTGTGTATATATATATATATAATTACAATTTTTGAATAATGATACAATATGTTAGTAATTATGTTAGTGAGTATTTTTTTTATTACAGTACCTCTTTATGGTTTTCAATCTGACAGTGTGTCTTTGTTACTCTCTCTCTCTCTCTCCCTCTTTCCTATATATTTCCTTGGCAGTCCAGCAGCTGATCAGCTACCGCAAAGGAAGCTAAAATAGATTGACGAACCTCATTATCTGTGTTATCTACATCTCTCTCTCTCTCTCTCTCTCTCTCTCTCTCTCTTGCACAAAACACACACACACACACACACACACACACACACACACACACACACACACACACACATACACAAACAGAATCTTATAAAATGTAAATGTAGAGAAAATGTAAATCTGTAACTAAAGGTGAAAACATATTAGTTATATCTTAATAGAACATGTAATATAATAAATATGTATAATAATGTAAGAATAATATAAAAATACAACGACATGCAACTCAGAGCTCTGATAGAGAGAGAGAGAGAGACTGAGAAAGTGGTATGGGAGTTGTATAAAAAATACAAATACATGCAACTCTGAGAGCTATGATAAAAACAGAGAGCGAGAGAGAGAGGTGAGAGAGAGAGAGAGAGAGAGAGAGAGAGACCGAGAGAGAGAGAGAGAGAGAGAGAATGAGCGGTATGGGAGTCTAATCCCTGTCCTAACATCCTGTGGTGAGTGGCTCATTTCTCAAATCACCGCTAATAGGAAGATTCAGCACTTTCTGCCCTGTGTCTTTCTATCTGAACAAATGATGCCTGAAATTTTTATTCTTTTTATGATGGAATTTCAATAGCCTTCACTGCAAATCTAGTGGAAATTTTTGCATATCAAATGGGAAAAATTAAATGTTAACCATGTTTTAATGTGATTAAGGCTGACAGAGACATTATTTCTGCTAATCACTCAGAAACTGAAAAGCTCAAACACTGCTGAAGAACACACCAGGCTCTGTCTGTGCTTTTAGAAACACTTTAGCACTGTTTATAGGATTACACTCTGCAACCCAGCTACATGTCAAATACGTTGTACTTCTGATCATTTTAAAACGAAGAAAACACATGCACTTAACATGTTAAAAACAGCTTTAATAATTATGGCATTAAGTGAAAAAAATTTTAAGCATATGATTAGTGCTAGTATGTGAGTCTCAGGATGAGAGATTCTTAATGCAAATAGTTAATAGTGATAGTGTTTTGCCTGTGTGTGTGTGTGTGTGTGTGTGTGTGTGTGTGTGCACATTTGCGTGCTCATTTAACTAGGTTACTTTCAGACCCCCCATAGAGTTGGCCTCAGGCTCCAGCTCTACTTTGATCTTCTGAAATGACACCGAGCAGGAGCAGAGGAGAGAAGGAGGGAAAGAAGAGGAAGAACAGAGCAGGAGGGAGGGAACAGACTGGAGTACAGGTGCTGCTACCTGAACCCATGTCCTGCCCCTTTGAGTGGCTGTATTGAGTGGAGCAGCTTAATTCCCAAAGCTCAAGCAGGTAAAGCTCCCACAGGGCCAGCGCGGACAAAGAGAGGCAATGCTGAAGCCTCTAAAGCCTCCATTCTCACACTGAATGCTGACTAGATAGGCTAAACCTCCATCTACACCCCCATAACTTCATTACACTCCCTCTCACAGCTGGACAGAGAATCAAAAGCACCTCAGGACATTTTTGTCAACATGGTCTCACGCTTGTAAATGTAGACAGGTTTGCATGAGTGAATTGTTATGAAGAGAATTGAATATGATTGGGTTGGTGTTCTTTGCATTCAGCAGTTCTGAAAATTATAACACAAATTCACTCATCTAGACTTACTACAGGATATCCCCATAGTCTCCATACATAGGCGAAATGAACACTTTTAAGCAAAATGTCTTCCAAAAAATTTCATACTTAGCATAAAATTATTTTTTTATGCCTTTGGTAAAAGAAGAATGTATTGAAAAGATTCTGAAATCAATCAACCATGGCTGGTTTGGGAAGCTGTCGCAAGGTTGTGATTGACTTTAACAGGAAACATAGCGAGCACATCACACACGACACTGTTGCCAAACTTCTTAACAAATTTAAAAAGACTGGAAAAATCTCTAAAAAGAGTGTTGCAGACCAACTGAGAATTGCACATCCACGAACATCCACTGACGAAGGCACAACCGACCTTTATTTTTAAGAGTGTAGCCATGTTCATTTGAGTCTGTTTAAGTGGTGTGCTCAGAATTTCAACTGGGTACTCAGCTAGATCATGGTAAAAAATGAGCAAACTAATGCACATGACCCAAAGCTGAAGAATGTTAACCTCCTTGCACTCTTCTTAGTTTCATTTTTCTGACTGCAGTTGATGATCAGCTTGGTGTGACATGATCTTACCAGACATGCTTCCACTACAACTTCACTGCTGTTTCCTTTCTTCCAACTTCTCCTCTTCTCTAGAGGCTGTCAGTTTGCAGCTTTAGTTGGCCTGCATGCGTGCTATCCACCAACTCATCAGCAAAACCTCAACTATTCCTTTCCTCCCCCCTTTTTTTTTCATCTCGCGCTCAGCTGAACTACTTCATCCTCTGTTTAAAACTGCCTCTTGTTTCTTTTGCTATCTCTTATTTAAAACATCGAAATCCTCTCTTGGTTGTGCCAGGTGTATGAGGTGAGTTCGTAGCCCCCCTGGGTGAGCGGAGTGATGGAAGGATGAGAGGAAGAGGGGATGAGCTGATGGAGGAGTGTGAGCAGGAGGACTGTAGATGGCACAGTGGGACTCCTTTCATCCTCACAGCAGTGAGTGGCTGCAAGGACACAAGAGCAGCCGCTTGCTGCACCCTGTGAACATGCACACACGTACACATGTACAACACACGCGTGTGCATGCACACACACACAA